GAGCGTGATTTACATGTGCATACAGATTGTCATGGCTTTTGTGACTTAACCAGGGACTCTGAAACAAGTAGCGCTAACATTTGCTAATACATAACAGCTAATGTTAGGCTCTGTGTGATGAATCGACGGCTGAGAGAAACAGACAATTGTAGTTTGGAAGTTCCAGGTCAACTTGTGAAAGCACTGCTAGTTTGACAAGCAGTGAACAGCTTGTCATAGGTGTAATACAATTGAAATGAAACTGTCATCGCTGCGCTCCATTGACACAGTCGTTTTCTAGCTTTCTTTTGCTGTATTTTTCCAAGATCTGGTCAAACACTGTTCCAGCGGTTAAAAGAAACAGTACAATTTATTCTCTTTCCAAAACCTAAAACAAATCCAGAAAAATGTAGCTATGGATTGTTCCTAATGTAATGTTAGTTAGCTATCAAACTTACTAGTGAATGTAACATTGTAAAGTTCTACTGTTCTGCCTTGTAATGATTGCAATAGTGAATAGAGACCTACCCAGCTGTAGAGACGCAGTGAAGATCCTGAATATCGTTATCGTTTGTCTCAATCGTCAGGTGATGCGTTGGTTTACTTTTACTCTGTGATCAATTGGTCAGTTTGAGTCAGTCTGACAGCCTGAATACAACCTTCAAATGAACAATGGAACTGCAAAACTGTCTGCTTCTTTCTGATATCACTTTTTCCAGAAATGAGACAATATTTCTCCAGGGAGTGCAGTAATAGACTGTGGCAGCGCCTTGCTAAAAGTCCGACAGGTCGGACAGTTTGTCGGACTTAGCAACAGTAATTAAGGTGGGCCTGGCTTAGCGAAGGGTCAAGTATCAATACTTTATTGCAAATATGTTTATGTATCCTTTATGTAAAACCTATGTTTCGAAGTAACTAAAATCAAAGTTAAACCTGAACGCTAGGAAGGTTTGTATGAGAAACAATGATGCTGGATGTGGGATGAGAGTGGATATTAATTAGCAGTGATTATAAACACTAACATTCATAAATCCTACAGTTTCATGTCCTGTTCAAAGGCACTCTAAAATGAATTTGCTAATTTTAGATGTTTTATACATGAAAAGAGTATTTTGGTAAATTCAGCATTGATAATTGCCAACAAAACACTGCTTAATGTTGACTATGAGGCAGTCTATTAAAAAAGCTGCAGACAGAATAGAAATGACAGGAAGTGATGAGAGAGAGAGAGAGGGATGTGAGACTCTGTCTCTCTCTCTCTAACAGGGGGTGATTCTGTATTTTACGGGACTCTAGGCAACCCTAGCTGTTACTGAAGCCAAGAGGAGTAACTTGGACCAAAACACAGACACTTCACTTTGATTTGCGTTATAGGTTTACAGTGTTGTATTTCCTATGTTATAATCAATGAGTGGATTATTGACCTTTTTTACAGCAGACATTTTGACTTGCCATTGTAGGAAATGCACAGGTCTCACTACTAACATTAGTGATGGCTCCGTTATATTTAGTTGTCCCAGTGAGTCATGACAGTGATAGTGAGCCAGCATGCACAGGGCTAGGACCCTGAAACTGAAGCAGCTAAATGGAATTTAGCCATTTTTAGTTTTTTTTTTTTTGCATTTCCTACTGTGACATGTCAAAATATCACCCATGAAAAATATGCACGATGGGTTTCCTTTGTTCTTTTCTTGAACCTGCACAAGTGAGATAAACCTAAACCTGAGACCATGTCCTCACTGTAGCGATAAAAGGCTTAAAGGCTTTAAAATAATAGCAGCAAATGACCTTAATTTGGTAAGAAGTAGTGAATTCACACTCACTTCCAGCTATCAAAAAGTTTCAGTATATCATAACAGAATTAAACTTGGATGTTTTATTACGGGGCACCACCCTATACAGGGAAACTAATTTAATTGCTTATCAATTAATCATATAGTAATTAAAGTTTCAACTACTTTAATGTAGATCTGAAGGTTGCTACAGAGCTCTTGGCTTGGTGTACAGTGACCCAATACTTCATACACACATACCCCACAAATTCATTAGAAACAAAAGGTTTATTAAACCATACACTTGACACAACACATAACTACTAAGCATAAACATTTGTTAAGCAATACAACCATGAACAAATATGGATAAAGGCAATGAATATGCACATAACTATTGACTACTGAACAGAAGAGTAGCCCATGATCATACAAAGGCAACCAATACAGCCATTAAAACATGCACTGAATACCACATGAACAATGAATTAATTGATAGATGCTTGAATTAACAAGCCATTAATATGGTGATGGACAAAATCTATGACTAAGCAAACATAATATCTAAGTCAAATACATTAAAATGCATTAATAAGTGGAAACAGGAGACGAGTAGAAGGAACCATTAAGGTGAGCCTAAAGACTGAAATCTAAGGCACAGCTGAGAGGTTATTGGTAAGCACAAGTGAAATACTTTACAGCTCCCTATCATGATTAGGCCTATATTGAAGAGAGATCCGACTCTTGTAGCATCAGTTCCAATATCACGGAGAAAGTTTTTTGTTGTACTTGAGTTTTTAGTTGACCATGGAAGAAATTGTTCTGGAGGAGGAAGGAAGAGTAGTGGCATATTGCTGTAGGGGGCTCTGAGGCGTTCTCAGATGCTTTTGGTCCCACAGAGAATTTTGATTAGCTTTTGATTTGTCCCTAGTCGGCTGTCTCTGCTCCTCTTGCTCTCAGCGGGCCGCGGAGATTCTCTTAACAACTGCCTGGTGATGGCATTACACACACAGCGTCTGCCAGATAATAACTTGTTTGTAAAATACGCTCTGGTCAAAACGGTGGTATTGTTAGGATGCAGGTGCGGAAGCAGCCGCTTAGGAAGGGTATGGGAGGAAAACTGACAACATGTGCAGCTCAGTGGTCTGCAGGCTTTTTGTGAGGTTGACCAGTTAATACGCCGTGGCCAAAACAAGAGGACAAGAGCCTGAGCAAGAGGCTGCCTCTTGTTTTTGTAGTTTTGTGGAAAAGAGCAGTGGTGTCTATTATCATGTCATGGCGTAAAGATTTCATTCCTCCCATTCTGTACCCTTTCTTATTTCAATCCTTACTTTTTTTTACTTAAAGAATCAATAAAGTTTATTACATTTAGTTCTCCTAATGTCGCACTCTCAGTTGCTGATAGCAAATACATTATGAATGTGGTTAATCTGGCATCATGTATAGCCTCTTTTATAGATATTATATGTTGTGCATCATTGTCTCATCGATTATTTACATGATGAAGAGTAAAATCAATAGTTAGTTAAACAAGTGTACACACACACACACAGGGTATGTGACTTTGTGGCATTCAAACCAATTTTCTGGTTAGACATGCAAACATTTAGCTGTTTTACTTTATCTACTCAAAGAGTCTAAAGACACCATCTAGGCTACAACCAGTACCGTAAGGACAGAATGACGCAAAGGTTAATACAAAATATCAGCTAACCTTAGACATACTGAACAGTAAGAAAACAGTTGAGATCTGTTTAAAATAATCTTTGAAATATTGTTTAAGGAAGCAAGTATGAAACGGTGTGTCCCAAACAGGCATGCTAGTAAACAATAGTTTTAGGTCCTTATATCAAATAGAGAGCCATATATTATAAAAGGTATCATGCCCATCATTCTTTCACATAAAGAAACACTTTCTGTTAGTCCAGGGTAAATGTGATGAAGCACACTAAATATATCAATTAATGTACATTTCAAGTCTGCATTGAAGTCAGTATTTCTGTCCCTTTTCTTCTTTTTTTCACCTTCTCTCTTTGCCTAAATCTAACCAAATTGCAACATCAACGATGTTTCTGTTTCACAACGCTAACCACTAGTTTTATTTTGAAAGTCTAACTGGACGTTGCACTTTTTTTTTTTTTGCTAACTTTACTGTTGAGCCCTTCACGTGAAAAACAACAAATGAAAAGGGCTTCCCAGGACTTTAAAAAGTGACGCGAAGGGGTCTACTTTTTCAGCTCACTAAAGAAATCGCAATAATATATTATTGTGAAATAAGTATTGTGATAATATAGTATCATGGGGCTTCTGGTGATTCCCACCCCTAGTGACAAGTGGGAGTGAGAATGTTTTTGCTAAGATCATGGGACAGCCAAGGTTCCAGGGGAAAGGTTTATCATCTCTCTGGGCAGACTTATATCCTCCATTATCACATCATCACCATCTTGATCATGTTGCATCACATTCATCATTTTATCAATAGGGAAAGTTGCAAAATGTGTCCCTTTTCTGCTAGAGTGATGTAAGGGAATCTCTTGTTAACACCTTTCACATTTGTTTTTGATTGCTGGTTTGGGTGATGTCATGATGTAGAGCATACCATCCATCCATCATTCCATGGGCTCACGCCCGTTGGTGTCCAATGCATTCCCGACAGTCCACCTCCATGTATCACAGTGTTGTGCCATCCACCTGAGTGTGTGGATATCTGTCAGGCACCATTCCTTGATAGTGTCCAGCCACTCTCTGTTTAGTCTTGATGATCCATTTATTGTGCCAAACACCATATTTTTCACCAGTCGATTCTGTTCGTCAGGTCATGATATAGAGCATGCAGGTTTGTTAAATTTGAGATATTTGGGCTAATGAATTATTCTATACCTGTTTGTAAGCCTATGTGTTTGCATTTATACAGTGCCTGTCTAGGTCCATTTAATTTTATTTATATAGTGCTAGTTCACAACAGAAGTTGTCTCATTGCACTCTTTGTAATACATAAATTAGGGCGGCTGTGGCTCAGGAGGTAGCGCAGCTTGGTTGTTAATCGGAAGGCCGGCGGTTCAATCTTGGCTCCCCCAGGCTGCATATTGAAGGGTCCTTGGGCAAGATACTGAAACCCAAATTGCCCCTGTGTGTGGATGTAGTGTAAAAGCATTTACATTTAGTAGCTTACCTGATGCCTCCGTGTGGGAAGTGTTTGCTGTTTGACAAAGCAGCTTCACTGACTCAGTCTTTTCCTGCACTTCACAGGACCTTCCCCGCTGATGGCAGTGATGGAGAATGAGACGTGGCCGCACCCGTCCTACATCCCTCATTATCTTCTCCGTGGTGACCCTTTCGCCTCAAGACTCTCCAGAGAGGCGGATATCATTGCAGCTTTTTACATCTGTGTCATAGGTCAGTCCCTTATTGTGACGGATGCTGTCTCTTCATCTCTTCATAAATTTCCTCATTTCCCTGAAAGTGACATCAAGTGTTGCTACAATCAGGCTCAATCATGCCAGTGTTCGAGACAGTGTCAGCAACATCTCACCGCCTCTTGAACAATACTGTGTCATCACTCACATCCCTTAAACATATGATAAAATGTAACTTAAGGTTATTTTCTGTGAATTTGGGCAAATCAATTATATATTCAAGAACTCAAATTAAGTCATTTGAGAGCACAATTTAGCTGTCTTCATCCATGAAACCAACTGGTCCCCTACAAAGAGAAAGTGGTAGGATCTTCCTTCAACTGGTTACAATCAACCTGTAACAAAAACAAGAAGAAACTTCTCTATATCTGCTAAATTAATGGCAAAAATTCCTACTGCAAGAGGAACTAGAGAAGCTTTTATATCAACCAGTCCTACCCACAGAGAGAAGAGTCTGAAGTAAGCATATATTTTTCTTTTTGTCAGGGCTGAGTGCTGATGCAGGTGAGGTGGATGTGTGGACCCAAATGCAGACACCGACATAACAGGATGCAGTTATTGTGATTTATTTAAAATGAAACTTAAACAGGCTTACGTGGAAGCAAGGCAGATGTCCAACAAAGGCTGAATCCAAAAGTAACATATTCCAGAAACAGGGTAGAGTAATCCAAAATACAGCGGCAGGACAGAACCCTCAACATACAGCAAGGACACAACAGAAGTGAGGGCTTAAAACTGACAGAGCAAATGAGCAGGGAGGAAGCGAACAGGTGAAAGACACGAGGGACTAATCAGACACAACAGGAACAAAGCTAGACATGAGCACCGGATACTGACGATTACAAAATAAACCAGGAAGTAAAACTCACAACGACACACAAGGGTGATGTACCATAATAAGACAGCACAGAAACAACTGACAAAACATCAAGAGCAGGCACAAGAACACAGAGGCAGTTATTGATAAGCAGTGGTGGAAGGAGTACTCAATTTTCATACCTAAGTACAAGTACAGATACCACACAAAAAATGTTACTCAAGTAAAAATAATAAAGTACCTGGTTTTAAAAATACTTCAGTAATCAAAAGTAAAAAGTACTACACATTCAAATCTATTGATCTTACAAAACGCAATCTGTCTTTTTAAATGCACTCAGACAGACTGGAATATAGCATTATAAGTTGTAGCGAATCACAATAAGGAAAACTGAATCAAAAGAGGAACAATGAATATTTCCTATATGTAGGGGGGTTAATCTGCGTTATTGCTCTGCTGTTGTGGTGGTATCCCCTTCAGCCCATCTGACAGACACAGAACCCCCTTTGGGAGTTTGGGTATGTAAGAATGAGACAAGGAAGTGGAAACCAAAAAGTAACTGAAACACTTATGTTCAGGCAGAAATCTCACCACAAATCGACAAAGATGTTAACTTCAGCACCTCTGATAAAGTGCACCTCACAGTCCCAAACAGAGCAAGGCTAGCTTCAGTTTTTAGATGTTCATATAGCCAAACTCTACCAGCTACATAACCACTCTGTCACAAACTGGCTGCGACTCACAGCCCCAAAACAGAGCCCAGTCTGCTGCACAGTCACACCTGACACCACAATGCTCTCAATGCTACTTTCCTCCCAATGTAAGAAGCCTGAATAGAAACCTCTTCAAGAAAAATCTTGTGCCGGTTTGAACAGACTACACTAACTCAGACCTCATGAAGTCTGGGGGCCAATCTGCTGGGTCATTTGGTGGAGCAGCAACTGTTCCTTTAGGGTCAGAGCTTCTTGATTTCTATCACTGCGGATGCCAGTGTCGCATCAGCTGGGCGAAGTTGATTCAAGCCAAGACGGCTTTATCAGTTTTACATTTGTTTTTCACTGCTGCTCCATTCTGGTGCGCTGCATGCTAATACTGATGTAACGAGGTCTGGTGCAGAATGTTAAGTGAAAGTAAAAAGTTGCACCAACTACAAATACTCAAGTAAAGTACAGATACTGAAAAAAAACTACTTAAGGACAGTTATGAAGTACTTGTACTTTGTTTCTTTCCACCACTGGTGATAAGTAGCCTACAAGAAGAAATAGCCATAACCATGACACTTTATATAAGCATTTAGTGACTGTGCTAAAGTATGCTTCTTCTTAGTGCCTTCTTGGAAAGTATGCGGGCTGATATATCAGTATGAAATGTATCATATTTGCTTTTAATATCTTTTGGCGTTTGGACTAGTATGATCCAAAAGAACATTTTCTTATTATGCAGTTTACTGACGTCAGTTATTGACTGCAATTATAGTTCAACAGACAAATCAAATTTGTCCTTGACCTTTCCTGGAAATTAAATCCAACTGGAGACAGCTTCACGTAGGCAGGGCTACAAAGGGGGTAATTGTTGAGAATACGCTTGGTAACAGTTGAAGTTTGGAACTGACAGTTACGAAAGTGACACCATCACCTTACTGGCTTGAACAGTAAAGTTAGTAAAGCAACATTAGTATTAACACCTTTACAACCTCAAACCTCCAAAGTGTGGGAGCATTTAACTCTTCCGTCAGCCAAAAAAGTTGGCTGGCTTTGCAAACTGCAGCATTTGCAATGCTGGAGCATCCAAAGAAGAGGCATGCTGGCTAGACTCGTATAGTTAGCTGACTAGCTAGTTTAATGTTAAAAGCCATGCGGGCAGAGTGAGCTAATCTGACCAGTGGCTGCACAGCTAACAGAGCAAATAAAAGCAGTTAGCTAGCTGTTTACTAATTTCAGCAAGTAAAGCTATCTGTCCATCAGGAAACTCACAGAGTTGAGGCAGAGCAGCAGAGGACATCAGAGAGAAAACTGGAATATATTTTCTCTATATTTCTAATATTTCTCCATCAAATATGAACCAGTTTCACCAAAATCAGGGGGAAAAGTTGTGTTTTTGTACAGTAACCAGTGGGGCCCGGTCCCAGAAACACTGTGCTTCAGCAGCTTCACACTGAGATGAAACGCTGAATTAATACAAGTGCAGAATGAGTGACATTTTAAAATAGTTTTCCAAATGACAAACCTAAATATCATCAAGAATACCTACAAAACTTTGATGGGCCAGGTGCTGCCATATTGGTGACAGTGCAAATCATATCATATAAAAACATTCAAACATGGATTTTGCAAATCTATGTTTCTCTAAAGATACACTGCTCTGACAACGCATACTTATCCTGTCTTTATTTTCCTAATTGGCATTGAAGTAATTAAAAAGTAACTAAAAGTAATCAGGATACATTACTTTTATTTACTGGTACTTGTATTACATGACATTTTTAAACAAGTAATTAGCAATTGTACCAGATTACATTTTTAAATTAATCCTCTCAACCCTGTGATCACCGCACCCACCGTGGCACCTGGTCCTGTTGTTTGGACGGGGTGAATCGTGGTCCGTCACTCATCAATCCAAAAAACCTGTCTTCATTTTCCAATGAATGTATTTATATCAGATGTAACACATGTTACCAGTGATGAGCAAGTTACACAGAAAATGTAACAAGTTACTAGTTATGTATTACTTCTTTAAAAAGTATAATAAGTAATAATTTAATGAATAAATACCCTTCCCCCCAAACAAAGCAGTCTCTCACGACTTTTTAACTAATATCATATTCATAACAGCAGCAAGGAGTGTGGTTTTTACAAAACATATAACGTTTCTTGATGCCGCCAGCTGAAATAAAAAAACATGGCAAGTAAATCCCAACTTTTGAGATACTGTCTGCACATTTATAAGAGCAGTATTTAGCGGGTCACACAGAGTTTACAACACTAATGCATCTTAGACTGTGATACAATAATACAGATGTGGAAAGAATGCCTCTCTCCCTCGTTGTGCCATCTTTCTTTAGCTTTTTGGCTAACATCAGGTCCGGTGCCACTGACCTGCTGAGCAGTCGCGCATTCACTTTAAGGACGGTGTGTACAGTAACGCAGTAACACAACATTACTTTGATTACTGGCTGTAGCACTGTAACACTGAGAAAAGTAATTACTGGCCAACGCCTACCAATACAGAGGAGTATCTGTGTGGAGTATCTCGATGCGAGTTACCGTTTTTGCTGGTAGATCATGAACTTCCTACTTAAAGCTGGATATCGTTATTTTCAGAATTTTATTGGCTACACAAAGTGCCAGTCATCGGCACAATTTGTTGCAATTGGCTTGGCCTACCCACGAAATAATAGGGGCCGGCATTTCCTTACAGTGCGGGCTCTTGTTGGCTATTGTAGGCTGTAAAAGGGACATATGAGCTCCTATTGGGTCAGATTTGGTGTCACTCGAAAGGTCAGAGTTCAGAGGCTAATTTGAATACAAGATATCGTAGTATGTGTCATTTAGGGCTAAATATTTTTATTAGATTGGATCGATACTATGAGGCTTCAATGGTGTCAATTTTGACAGTCTGACAGAGGCGCTGATTGTACCCACTGTGGTGGTTATATCTTCAAATGGTTTGCATTGGTCGAATCATGTGGATTTTAGCTTTCAAACGGTGTATCATATGAGTATGAAGTTAACATAGCAGCTGTGTGCGCAAACCGAAAGCTGCCGCCAGGACCTGACGGCCCGTGAGCTGGCCGTTGGAATGTTAAGAGATTAACAAATGACTGCATAGGACCACTGTGACAAGTCTCTTTTGGACAACGTTAGTCACATACCTCAGAACGACTGAGCACTGGTCTTGTGCCATTAAGTCCTGTGTCCTGCATCCAGCTGGACAGTAAAACATTACAGCTTTTTTCTGGATGTTGTTGACACATGCAACTTTTTGCTCTTCTCAGTCACGTTACTGAGATGCTCTTTCAAGCACACATCATACTTTTCCAACAGAATTATTAGTTCCAAAAAATTCCGTGGTCGAGGCTTTGGTTGTCCAAGGTATATGCAACCTCGTTCTTATTTCCTCTGTAGCTTCGGCCCCTACTGTCTATAAATCGTAAGACCTCCACC